CCCTACAGAAGGACCTACAGACCCACGTGGGGGGAGGGAAAAACGATGACACACAAGACAACGACAGGTCCGAAGAAAATGAAGGTTTGTTATATGCAAGGTTCTAAAGCCAAATGCATAGCAAGGGGCAGCTGGCCCGGAAAGACAGCCCAAGAAAATGTTTAGATATGAAGGGTGAAGGCAAAAACATTCAATGGAAGGAAAAAAAAGCCCAGAGGGAAACGAGGAACTCATGGGAGGAGGAAAGGGGGAGGGTCAGTTTTTGTGTACGGGGTCCAAAAGCCCCGGGGGGCCCAAATTTGAAGAAATAAAACAGGGGGGAAAAAAATGATTGAAAGGGATCATGAAACAAAAGGGGAGGGGAATATGCCCGGGCCAAATTTTCAGAGAATTGGGGGGTTTGCAGTGGAAGGATACGGCCTTCAGAGTAACTTTCAAAAGGAAAAATCGTTCGAATCAGATTCTGCAAGGAAAGAAACTGAGAGACAAAAAGGGGTACCAAGAGTATAACCTCGACCGCGACAGAACACAAGAAGAAAGACTACACTGAAAGAGGGGTACAGAGAGCAAGGAGGAAGGGAAGCAATGAAAAAAGAGCAGGACCCAGACACGGAGGAAGGGCAAACACACCCCCCAGAATCTCCCCCCAAAAAAACCCCCCCCCCCGACACTCCCAAAGCAAAAGGCCAACCAACTCCAACCCACTCACTGTTCCCTCTGCCCACCAACCCCCATATCAAAACCTCACCCCAAAAGCTGTCCCTTTGGGCATTTTGACCCCCCCCCCTCAAACATACCCCCCCCTACACCACAGCCCCTATAGGCCCCCACCAGGCTCTCCCTCCCCCAACCCCCCAAAATCTTGCATGACCCAATGATAAAAAAACTAAAGGTTTGGTACACAAATGCGGATGGGGAAAAATGAATAAACATGAGGAGTGGAATGAAAAAAATCAGGAAAAATCCCCAGACATCATAGCACACAGAAAAAAAAAAACCCCCTGAGATAATAACAGACACAATCTTCCCCAAAAGGATTCAGATCCTGAGGGGAAAAAAGAAGGAAAGGGGGAGGAGGGGTTGCACTGCCATAAAACACCCAAGGGGATTTGGGAAATGGAAGGGATGGGCAAATTTGGGAAAGAGACTACATTGTAGTACAATTCAGTCCGGAAACAAAAAGTAGTCATTGGGGTGATGTATAAACCCCCCACAGAACTGCAGGGGGGCCAAGAGAGGAGTCGAAGAAAACAACAGGGGGATGGGGACACCCTGGTGAGGTGGAAGAAAGCTCCTCGAGCAGGCAAAAGTTATGGAATGGGCGATTTCAAACCCCGGGGGATCGACGGGAAAACCTGGGCCACAGGGGGTCCCGAAACTGGAGACAAAAATGATGGGTGTGGACTTGAAAAACCTCATCATCAACATGTCGGGACCAACCCGAGAGAGAGGGGGGGATGACCAGCAAGACGGGTCTTGTGTTCCCCTAGCAGTTCAGACATCAGGACATACTTACAAGGCCCCTTGGGGCTAGCGTCATGTGGTTTTTGAGTTTTGACTATTATAGAGTTACAATGGAGAAGGTAACAGGGAAAGAAGGGGACAGGGCCAAACTTAAAAGGGGGACACACAGGTATGAGAAATTCCTGCAGGGGGTTCAGTGGGCGAGAAATGGTAGGAAAATCATAAACAGATGATGGAATATTGGCAACAAAGTGCAAGGAGGGAGAGGAAAGTTTTGTTCCCAAGGGAAACAGAAATAATAGGAAGACCAAGACGAGTCCTTTGGTTTTCCCGAAGGGTAGGGAGGCAAAAGCTAAGTGCAACAGAGAATGGAAAAGACAGGAGCATAGGACCCAGGAAAACAAGGAGATTAAGAAGAGCCAGAAAAGAGTATGCGAGATAAGGGGGGAGGCCCCGAGACGTATGAAAACACAAGCTCGAAAGTCAAATCTGACCCGAAATGCTGTAAAGCCACATTAGGAAGAAGACAACAGTCAAGGACCGGTGTAAGGGTGAGGAAGAAGGTGGGGAATCACAAGAAACGATCAGGGTATGTGGGGCTCAAAACAGATTTAAAGGAAGTATTTACAGTAGAGACAGGGGGACTCTGGGGGGACAGACCAGATGGGGAAACCCAAAAAGGAAAACACCAAAAGTGTTGGACACAACATACAGTGAGGGGGAGGTGAAGAAACTGCAAGGGACATCGAAACCTCAAAAGGCAATGGGGCCGGGCAACATCTCTCCCTGGGTCCCTTGAGGGGGAGCGATATGTTGGCGTACCACTTACCACAATCTTCAAACCCCCCCTGGAAATGGGGAAAAAATACCTAGGTATGGAAAACAGCAAAATGTGCCCATTTTCAAAAAAAGGGGGACAGAAAAGAGGCACAAACATAGACCTGTGTCTTGACGTGTATAAAGCAAAATTTTAGAAGATTATCAGAGGAGAGTGTGGGCACCTGGGAAAGGGAAAAGGAGTATAAATCCAAACCCGCAAAAGGGTTTACGGAAGGGAAACCTGTTCACAAAACCCTTTGAGTTTTATGAAAAAAAAACAAAGTAAGACAAGAGAGAGAGGGGGGGGTTTTATTGCATCTTCCTTGGACTGCAAGAAGCCTTTGACAAGTTCCCACAAGAATTAGTGCAGAAGCAGAGCATCAGCGCATATAACAGGAAAGGGGACTGCAAGGATCAGAGAAACCTGACAGGGAGGGGAACAACGATCATGGTAGTAATGATGTATCACATGGGGGACCCGGCAGCGGGGGCCCACAGGGGGGCGGTCCTAGGACCCTGTATTTTTGGTATATGTGAACGACAGACGGAAGGGTTAGGCTCAAAGTGCCCTGTTTGCAGATGGTAAGTTAATAGGAGAATTTAAAACTGATGAGGGCCCGGCGGCTTCAAAAAGCCTGGACAGACTGACACCTGGTCCGCAAATGGCTTCTCGAATTTAAACCTGCCAAATCAAAGCAGAAGATAGGGGGAAGGGCAAGAAGGGGCCACAACAGAGTATAGGCTTTGGGGGCCCAAAACGCAAACCCCACTCAAGGGGAAAAAATCTTGGGTGAGTATAACACCGAGCATGTCCCCGGGAAGCACACATCAATCAGATAACTGCTGCAGCATATGGGCGCCTGGCAAACCTGAGAACAGCATTCCGACACCTTAGTAAGGAATCATTCAAGACACTGTAACCGTGTATGTCAGGCCCATACTGGATTTATGCAGCACCTGTTTGGAACCCGCACTTGATAAAGCACGTCAAGAAACTAGAGAAAGTACAAAGGTTTGCAACAAGGTTAGTTTCCCAGAGCTAAGGGGAATGTCCTATGGAAGAAAGATTAAGGGAAATCGGCCTGACGACACTGGATGACAGGAGGGTCAGGGGAGACATGATAAGACATATAAAAAACTGCGTGGAATAGACAAGGTGGACAAGGACAGGATTTCCAGGGGGGGGACACAGAAACAAGAGGCCCCCAATTGGAAGTTGAAGACACAAAGAGTCAAGAGATAGTAGGGAAATATTTCTTCAGTCATAGAGTTTTTAAGGCAGTGGAATAGCCCTAGAAAATGACGGTAGTGGAGGCAGGAACCATACACAGTTTTAAGACGAGGTTTGATAAAGCTCATGGAGCGGGGGGGAGAGAGGGTCTGTAGCAACCGGTGAAGAGGCGGGGCCAGGAGCTAGGACTCGACCCCTGCAACCACAAATAGGTGAGTACACACACACACACACACACACCAAACACACCCCACACACACACAAACACACACACACACAAAAAAACATACACACACACACACACACACACAACACACACACAACACAACACACCTTCATAGGAATGTCCTATGAAGAAAGATTAAAGGGAAATCGGCCTGACGACACTGGAGGGCAGGAGGGTCAGGGGAGACATGATAAAGACATATAAAATACTGCGTGGAATAGACAAGGGGACAAAGACAGGATTTTTCCAGGGAGGGGACACAGAAACACGAGGCCACAATTGGAAGTTGAAGACACAAATGAGTCAGAGAGATAGTAGGAAGTATTTCTTCAGTCATAGAGTTGTAAGGCAGTGGAATAGCCTAGAAAATGACGTAGTGGAGGCAGGAACCATACACAGTTTTAAGACGAGGTTTGATAAAGCTCATGGAGCGGGGAGAGAGAGGGCCTAGTAGCAACCGGTGAAGAGGCGGGGCCAGGAGCTAGGACTCGACCCCTGCAACCACAAATAGGTGAGTACAAATAGGTGAGTACACACACACACACACACACACACAGTTACAGAGAGCACTATGTTCCTCAGTCTTGTACTATACACTAAAGATAAGGTACTCAGTCCCTCTCAGGCACCTGTGAAGTGAAGCACACCTGTGACCTGAAGCATCTGTCACTGAAGTGCCTGTGACCTGAAGCATCCATGAAAATCACCTCTGACCTGAAGCCTCCATGACTGAAGCACCTGTAACCTGAAGCACACCTGTGACCTGAAGCATCTGTCACTGAAGCGCCTGTGACCTGAAGCATCCATGAAAATCACCTCTGACCTGAAGCTGCCATGACTGAAGCACCTGTAACCTGAAACACACCTGTGACCTGAAGCATCTGTCACTGAAGTGCTGTGACCTGAAGCATCCATTTAAAATCACCTCTGACCTGAAGCCTCCCATGACTGAAGCACCTGTAACCTGAAGCACACCTGTGACCTGAAGCATCTGTCACTGAAGCGCCTGTGACCTGAAGCATCCATGAAAATCACCTCTGACCTGAAGCTGCCATGACTGAAGCACCTGTAACCTGAAGCACACCTGTGACCTGAAGCATCTGTCACTGAAGTGCCTGTGACCTGAAGCATCCATGAAAATCACCTCTGACCTGAAGCCTCCATGACTGAAGCACCTGTAACCTGAAGCACACCTGTGACCTGAAGCATCTATCACTGAAGCACCTGTGACCTGAAGCATCCATGAAAATCACCTCTGACCTGAAGCCTCCATGACTGAAGCACCTGTAACCTGAAGCACACCTGTGACCTGAAGCACACCTGTGGCTGAAGCACCTGTGACCTGAAGCACACCTGTGACCTGAGACACCTGTGACCTGAAGCATCTGTGACAAGCATGTGTGACCTGAAGCACACCTGAGACCTGAAGTACACCTATGACCTAAAGCATCTGTGACCTGAAGCACCTATGACCTGAAGCACACCTGTGACCTGAAACACCTATGACCTGAAACATGTGACCTGAAGTGCATCTGTGACCTGAAGTACACCTGTGACCTAAAGCATGTGACCTGAAGTACACCTGTGATCTGAAGCACCTATGACCTGAAACATGTGACCTGAAGTGCATCTGTGGCCTGAAGTACACCTGTGATCTGAAACACCTATGACCTGAAACCTGTGACCTGAAGTAAACCTGTGATCTGAAACACCTATGACCTGAAACATGTGACCTGAAGTGCATCTGTGACCTGAAGTACACCTGTGATCTGAAGCAAACCTGTGACCCAAGGTGCATCTGTGACCAAAAGCATCTGTGACCTGAAGTACACATGTGACCAAAAGCATCTGTGACCTGAAGTACACATGTGACCAAAAGCATCTGTGACCTGAAGTACACCTGTGATCTGAAACACCTATGACCTAAAACATGTGACCTTAAGTGCATCTGTGACCTGAAGTACACCTGTGATCTGAAACACCTATGACCTGAAACATGTGACCTGAAGTGCATCTATGACCTGAAGCACACCTGTGATCTGAAGCAAACCTGTGAGCCGAGGTGCATCTGTGACCTGAAGTACACCTGTGATCTGAAACACCTATGACCTGAAACATGTGACCTGAAGTGCATCTGTGACCTGAAGTACACCTGTGATCTGAAGCAAACCTGTGACCCGAGGTGCATCTGTGACCAAAAGCATGTGACCTGAAGTACACCTGTGATCTGAAACACCTATGACCTGAAACATGTGACCTGAAGTGCATCTGTGACCTGAAGAACACCTGTGATCTGAAGCAAACCTGTGACCCAAGGTGCATCTGTAACGAAAAGCATCTGTGACCTGAAGCACCTGTGACCTGAATCACCTGTGACCTGAAGCACCTGTGACCTGAAGCACCTGTGACCTGAAGTATACCTGTGCTTCTAAAGTGTATCATTCAGCACAATCACTTTGATGATATAAATGGTGATTGCAGTGTTCGCTGCAGTGTCGTTGTCGACAGTGTACTGTGATCTTGTGTAGTACACTTAAGTAGGTACAGTGGACCCCCGGTTAACGATATTTTTTCACTCCAGAAGTATGTTCAGGTGCCAGTACTGACCGAATTTGTTCCCATAAGAAATATTGTGAAGTAGAGTAGTCCATTTCAGACCCCCAAACATACACGTACAAACGCACTTACATAAATACACTTACATAATTGGTCACATTCGGAGGTAATCGTTATGCGGGGGTCCACTGTATTAAGTTTGTTGGGAAACAGGACAAGTATTTCCTAACACGGGTCTTAGTCATATGATGACCCACAGTTGGAGCTTTTGGTCATCTGACCGAGGCCTTCTGCTGGCTTACTGGTCCATCTTTTAAAAATCATGGCTATAATTATGAACACTGAAGGTTAGTACACTTAGATAATCCCAGCTACTAGCCGTGACGTCACCAGATCTACATATGTGAGCCGTCAGCTATAGGCCTCCCACTTATTTCCACGCTAGGCATAGTAGAATCAACAAGGAAGCCTGGGCTTCTTCTCAAGTCTCTCTTAATCATACGCCTCCAAGACATCCAACGTGTGTATTTCTTACTCCATTATCATCATAATGGGGAAGCAGTAAACCCACAGGGATTATACAGTGCCTGTGGGGGGGGATTTCTTACTCCACTAACCATTGACAACATGCCCATGCACTCAGCCCCAGGCCCAGACTCTTGAAACTCTGTATTCACTAAGGACTGCATGAATCCACTTTTGTGTGCCCTAAGTGTACTATGGAGAAGGAGCTTGGACATGGGTGAAATTCCACAGTCACTTAAAACAACGGATATAGCCCCACTTCATAAAGGTGGCAGCAAAGCATTAGCTAAGAACTAGACCAATAGCTCTAATGTCCCACATCATAAAAATCTTTGAGTGCTAAGAAGCACAACAGCAAACCACTTGGATTCCCAAAAACTGCACAATCCAGTGCAACATAGGTTCAGAGGGGGTCGCACCTACCTCTCGCAACTACTGGATCATTATGATATGGTCTTGGATGCACTGGAAGAAAAACAGAATGCAGATGTAATATACACAAACTTTGCAAAAACCTTTGACAAGTGCGATCATGACGTAATAGCCACACCAAATACATGCTAAGGGAATAACTGGCAAAGTGGGGAGATGGATCTTCAACTTTCTAACCAATCGAACACAAAGAGCAGTGGTAAACAGAGTTAAATCGGAAGCTGCCATAGTGAAAAGCTGTTTCAGAAGGCACAGTATTCGCCCCCATCCTGTTCCTCATCCTCATATCCGACATAGACAGAGATGTAATCCACAGCACCATGTCATCTTTTGCAGACAATACTAGGATCTGCATGAGACTGTCATCTATTGAGGACACGGTTAACCTACAAGAAAATATAAACCAAGTTTTCTAATGGGTAACAGAAAACAATATGATGTCCAATGAAGATAAATTCCAATTACTCCATTATGGAAAACTGGAGGAGATAATAATTAAAACCGAGTATACTACAAACTCTGAACACACACCAGAGCAAAAAAATAATGCGAGGGACCTTGGAGTGGTAATGTCTGAGGATCTCACTTTCAAGGATCACAACAGTGCCACGATCACAACTTCAAAGAAAATGATATGATGGATAATGAGAACGTTCAGAACAAGAGATGCCAAGCCAATGATGATCCTTTTCAAATCACTTGTTCTCTCTAGGCTGGAATACTGCTGTATATTAACATCTCCATTCAAGGCAGGTGAAATTGCACATATAAGTTCCATCATTTACCTCAACTACTGGGAACGCTTGGAAGCACTTGACTTGTACTTGCTGGAATGCAGGCAAGAGAAATACAGTGGAACCTCGACTTACGAGTTTAATCCGTTCCGTGACCTAGCTTGTAAATCAGTTTGCTTGGATATCAAATCAATTTTCCTCATTTAAATTAATTGAAAAGCCATTAATCCGTTCCAACGGAATTCCTGCTCTCAGAAGGCAAGACAAAATACTTCAATATGACGCTAATATCAACTCTACGGCTTATTTATCTATCACAATTCATCTAATATGACATAATAAACAATATAAATAACATAGAAACATGATACATACTCTAGAATGAATAAAATGTCATTACAGTGGACCCCCGCATAACGATGGCAGCACATAGCGATTAATCCGCATACCGCTTGCTTTAATCGCAAAAATTTTGCCTCACATACCGCTTAAAAACCCGCTCACCGATTTTCGTCCGAGACGTGTCGAATGTGGGGCCTGAGCCACGCTCACATGTTCCGCCGGTGGCATTGTTTACCAGCCAGCCTCCGCGGTAACATCCAAGCATACAATCGGAATATTTCGTATTATTACAGTGTTTTCGGTGCTTTTTCTGGAAAATAAGTGACCATGGGCCCCAAGAAAGCTTCTAGTGCCAACCCTACAGCAATAAGGGTGAGAATTACAATAGAGATGAAGAAAAAGATCATTGATAAGTTTGAAAGTGGAGTGCGTGTCTCCGAGCTGGCCAGGTTGTATAATAAACCCCAATCAACCATCGCTACTATTGGTGGTACAGCTGCTGCTGCTGCTGCACTGTCAGCTGCTGCTGCTGCTGTAGCATCGTCTGCTGCTGCTGTAACATCGTCTGTTGCTGCTGTAGCGTCGTCTGTTGCTGCTGTACCACCGTCAGCTGCTGCTGCTGCTGTAGCATCGTCTGCTGCTGCTGTAACATCGTCTGTTTGCTGCTGTAGCATCGTCTGTTGCTGCTGTACCACCGTCAGCTGCTGCTGCTGCTGTAGCATCGTCTGCTGCTGCTGTAACATCGTCTGTTGCTGCTGTAGCATCGTCTGTTGCTGCTGTACCACCGTCAGCTGCTGCTGCTGCTGTAGCACCGTTGTTGGTGTGGCTTATTGAGAATACCAAGAAACAATTAACCCCAGAGGATTTGCCACCCAAGATAACCCAAAAAAGTCAGTGTCATCGAAGACTGTCTAACTTATTTCCATTGGGGTCCTTAATCTTGTCTCCCAGGATGCAACCCACACAAGTCGACTAACACCAGGTGAACAGGGAAAAATGCCTGGAACTAGTGCTCATATTGGTGAATTTAAAGCCAGCAAAGGTTGGTTTGAGAGATTTAAGAATCGTAGTGGCATACACAGTGTGATAAGGCCTGTTCTGGAAGAAAATGCCAACAGGACCTACAGTACTCAGGAGGAAAAGGCACTCCCAGGACACAGTGTCTCATCAGTCATTGCTGCATCTTCAATAAAGGTAAGTGTCATTTATTCTTCATTTAGTAGACTAGTACATGCACAATATATACTGTGCATGTACTACTCTACTATTGTGCATGTATCCTTCTCTTTGTGTGTGGGAAAATGTATATTTCATGTGGTAAAATTTTTTTTTTCATACTTTTGGGTGTCTTGCACGGATTAATTTGATTTCCATTATTTCTTATGGGGAAAATTCATTCGCATACCGATTATTTCGCATAACAATTACCCCTCTTGCACGGATTAAAATCGTTATGCGGGGGTCCACTGTATATGACTAGTGGTGGTGGTCATTCCCGCTCTCACTCTGACTATATCTTCCCATGCTCTTGTAAGAGAAAATGGAGTGTTTGTGAGGCTAACTCCACTAGATCATTAGTTTCATAATGAAAACACTGAAAGAATGTAGTTATAAATAAGAAATGTTGCATAAAAGCATAATAAAACATAACAGAGAATGTAAAGGAATTAACTGGTTATATAAAGTGTGCATACACACTTACCTTGGAGCAGAGACGTTTACGGAGGTTGAGGGTGGAAGATAGGCAGAGTGGCGTATGGTGTCAGTCGCCCTATAAACCTCCAACAACAACATTGGAGGAGTTAGTTTTGTTTCG